TGGGGGAAACATCAGGAGCGATAGACCAGGAGAGAAAGAAGGAAAATGGCCTTTCGCTTTGTGTAAGGACAGAGGGTGGAAGGGAAAAGATGAACTGTGCCTTTCTGGATGCTTGGCCAGCCGGCGGTCATCACTAAGATTTTGTTACTGTTGCTGTTTTCTTGCTGCTGAACCAGCCTGTTTCTCTGTCCTCTCTTACTGGGTTTATGGTTGCTGTGTTTTATCTTCTCTCTCTGAGGACATCAGTTAGCAGGATTTTTTTTCTTTTGAAACATCCATGTTTGCCTTTGGAACTAGCTCTGTTTCCTCCGGGATCGTGTTTTCTTCCCCTGTTTCTCTATCTTCATGTCTCACTTAAGGGCACATTTTCCTGCAATGCTTAAACTATCTTGGTCGTTCTTTGAGGATGTGTGCTAGGACAGCCAGCTCCAACCAGAAATCTCCTAGGACGGGGCAAGGAGCACACTCAGAGGCGTGGAGGCCCACCCTGGGGAGAGACACTGCTGACAGCCAGTCCCACGTCCCCCAGACCCTTCCCAGGGAAGACATTACCCTCACCTTGAGCCACGTGGAGAGAAACGGCGTGGTCCTTCATTCCTTCAGGATCCGCTTCGTGGGCCGTAATGGGTGAGTTCCTTTGTTGACATGGCAGTAGAAGCTCTTGGAAGGTGAACTCCCGAGGTTGAGAAGACCCAGTGGTGAGTCATCTCACGGTGGCTGCCCGCCCCCAGCCTCAGCTTCTCCACCTGCAAAATGGGAAAACTGTGCCGCCTGTCTTGCAGGAGGAGGCAGGGAGGGCCGCGGTGAGGAAGGGCCGCCGGGCTGGGCGCCTGCCTCGGTGAACAGACTGGAGTGATCCCCAGAAGGCAGCAGATTCCTGCAGCAGATTCCTGCAGCTCTCTGCAGACAGAGGCCCCGCCCCACCGGAAAGGCCACTCAGACTCCTGACTGACCCTCCATTCCTCATGCCAGAGAATGGTGACTTTAGTTGGAAACCTCGATCCACCCATACCTATAGCCTGACTTTTCGGGGTACATGAGCCGATGTATTCCATTTTTGCTTAGGGCCTTTCAGTTTCAGATAGAACAGAACACCTAAGAAAGAACTCTATGTCCAGCTGCCCTCAATCCAGTCCCCCCGGAATGTACCCCTCCAGTGCCACCGTTGTAGATGCAGCCTGTCTGTCGTTGATTGATACCTCATCGTGCTGTGCATGCCTGGTCTTATCCCACTGCTCGACGCTAGGTGTGAGCTCCCCATACTCCTGGGCCAGCAGCTTCTCAGAGCTCAGCTTCACCTCTCCAAGAAAGGCCTGGGGTTCCATGTCCCCCACGACATCCAAGAGACCCAGAGCCCCCTCCCCAGAAAGACTCAGTTCATGTTCCACGTGTGAGTTGTGCCATCTCCCCAGCCAGCCACACACCCCAAAGAGCCATGTCCATGTGCATGCCAGGCTCCAGAGCGTCAGAGCCGGATGGGGTGTACCTGCGTCTTGACGGGAAGGCTGGTTCCCCCAACAGCTGGTGACGAGGAAGTCATTCTCCAGACGAGACCTCATCAGCCTGCCAATAATTACCAGGCCCAGAATGTGGCCGCAATTCAGGAAAGATGATCCCCAAAGGCCACCCTGCCACTTAAATCCTGGCATTGGCCACGGGTCCCCTTGGTAACATGTAACTGTGAGCACGATGTAGCCACCGAGCTAATTGATGTTTCCCGAGCCAGTCAGCTCATACCCTGGCATTTGAAATGGGCTCTAATTGCTGACATCCTTAGGTAAGAAGCTCACACATGTTCTCCAGCTACCCAAGAGGCCCCGAGCAGGAACTGAGTCTCTCAGCAAACTAGTCTCTGATTGCACTTAATTAAAGTAAGGTTTACCAAAAGAATTAATTATAGAACAGATCAGATGAAGTTGTGACAGCAAGTGGTTCACAGCAAAGCGGCACAGGCAACTTCCCAGGCTGGGAGAGGCTGCTCCTTGAAGCATTCATTATCCAGCTCTTCGCAGCTACCCAAGCAACAGGCAGAAAGTATAGATAAAAGACCAATAGCCAGATGCCGGAGGCTCACGCCTGTCATCCTAGCTACTCAGGAGGCTGAGATCTGAGGATCGTGATTCAAAAGCCAGCCTAGGCAGGAAAATCCATGAGACTCTTATCTCCAACTAGCCACCAGAAAACCAGAAGTGGTGCTGTGGCTCAAAGCATTAGAGCACTAGCCTTGAGTGAAAAAGCTCAGGGACAGCACTCGGACCCTGAGTTCAAGCCCCACAACTAAAACCAACAACACACACACACAAAAAAAAAAAAAAGACGACTGGACTTGGGGGTGTTACAGAGCTAGGGTGGGCCTTGGGCAAGCCCTGCTTCTTTCTGGTTGATTGGAGAGAAAATATAGGGAACTTTTCTGCTTGGACTGGCCTACAACTGCAGATCTCAGCTTTCTGGGTAGTTAGGATTACAGGCATGAGCTGCCAGTGCCTGACTTTCACAAGGACTTCTTAATGGCACAGTGTACAGGTGAAAACTAGCAGCCCGCAGAGGGCCACGGGGTGCAGATATTGGGCAGATGTTACGTTGTTTGCAGCCTAAGCTCTCAGTTCTGAGGCCATCCTTTGGGCAGGCTCCCAGATCTCTAGTAACTGCATAGCACCCCACGCTTGGTGCAAATATTCAGGGTTTTCCCCTACAGCTCCTTGTGGTGTCCAGAGTTGGACAACTCTGGTCTCAAATCCCAATTCCACGTTTCTTCCCCTGGCCTTTGTGGCAATCCTAGTATGGTAGGTAGCACCATGGCTGCCCCACACTGGGTGCTGGCCCATACCAGAGTTGGAGGAGGAGGAGGAGCCGTGCGGGACACATGACACAGACACTGTGGGACCTCACTCCCTCCCCTCAGGGCTCACCCTGGGCACCATCCTCAAAGCAGGCTCTCAGGGCCGCTGGAAGTGACGGAGTTTGTATCCCTGGGTGGGGCCTCAGACTCGAAGACACATCTCCAACCTCCCTTACCTAAGAACAGAAGGGACCAGTCTGTCGTTCCATATTCTCCCAAGGACCCCTAACAAGACAGACCCCCCCCCCCAGTTGCCCATCAAGACAACCAGCTCAGTGAGAACGCTTTGCTTTCCTTCCTTCCATTCCCAGAATCACCAAGTTGGTGCTTCCTGGGCTCAGCCTCTAAGCAAATCATTTGCACTCCAGTCCCACTGGTGGTGGGGAGACACAGCTTTAGACAGATGTAATTACAAACTGTGTAGGCTGGGAAGAAGGAGTTGGCAGGGGGCTGTCTAAAATGACAGCCAAGGAAGAGTAAGAGACATCCTGGCACATTAGCAGGGTTCAGCACCAAACTTGGGAACCTTATTGGGAATGGTAAACTGCAGGACTGGCACTGCTCTCCTGGCACTGGGCAGGGCGGGGGGGGGGGGGGGGCTCACAGGTGTCTGAAGCCAGAATCTTACTGTTCTGATTGGTCAGGATGCATGTGCCGATTGGCTAATGCCCCTTGAATGATTTGCGTATCACTCAGAATCTAGTGCTTGTAAAGGTGCTAAGCTTGAAAACCTGGGGGCTTCCAGAGGCCACCTGCTGGGGAAGTGTTTTCTTGTTTCCAATCAGGAAGGAGAAAAATCAAGATTTCATTGGGACTATTAATGTTTTATAACTGACAGCTGTACCACTTGGCAAAGTGACTTGAGAAAAAATTTCCTTAAGCCAGGTGCCAGTGGTTCACACCAGTAATCTTAGCTACTTAGAGGCTGAGACCTGAAGATCATGACTTAGAGCCAGTTAGGGAAGGAAAGTCAGTGAGACTCTTATCTCTAATTAACCAGGAAAAGCCAAAAGTGGAGCAGTGGCTCAAGTGGTAGAGCACCAGCCTTGAGCAAGAAGGCCAAGCAAGAGCACAAGGCTGAGTTTAAGTCTCAGTATCGGCTTGTGTGTGTACGCATGTGCGAGCATGCACATGCGTGGGCGCGTGCGCACACACGCACACAAATATCACTGAATCGTAAACAGGACATAGGTACTTTTTTTTTTTTCTTTTTTCCCCCTCCCTCCCTTCTTCTTGCTTTCTTTTGAGGCAGCATCTTGCTATGGTGCCCAGGTTGGCTCAATTCTTGGCTTCAAGTAATCACTTCCTGAACAGCTGGGGCTACAAGTGTCCACTACCACACACTCAAGTGTTTCTGTGTGCAGTGCTTGGAGGGAGCCCAGGGCCTCCTGCCATGCTAAACATTACTCAGTGAACACACTGCTAGCAACACCTAGAAGAATTATTGAGTTAAAAGTAGACTGTTTAGGGCAATGGCTGACACATAGTACATGTTCTGAATGTTTTGCTGTTATTTATTCGTGTTGTTGCTTGTCCACAGGTTTCTTTAAAATTCTGGACTTAACTCTGCCAGTCACCTCTTTGGTTCCCAGACTCCCCACTACCGCTCCGGTCCCGCACCTAATCCGCCTCCTGCTGCAGCCTGGTCCGCTGCCCTCTTCATTTCTCTCTAGTAGTGGGCTTACATGGACACAAGTTGCCCCGGAACCATGAAGATTGCAGACTTGAGCGAGGGCAGGATTCCTCTGCTCCCTCTAAAATCAGGCAGACTCAAGGCAGGATCCTGCCCTGTCTTCCAAGTCGCCGGCCAGCTGAGTCTTTGAACAAGCCCTTCTCCAAACTTTAGTTTCCCCAGGGGTCAAACTGGGCTCCGGAACCTTCTCTACCTCCCAAGTTGCTGGGAGTGGAGACAGGAGTGAGAACCTTCCATCCCCAAGGTGCGGGCGCCACCGCAGCAAAGCTGGGTGCTGGGAGGCCTAGTCTGTCCTGTTGTAATAACCCTCTGAATGAGGCGGGACTAGGTAGTAGGGAGCTTGCAGCCAGTGTGCAAGGGCCTGGGTTCCACGGCTGGTAGTGCAAAATCAACCAATAAATGAACATCCTCTGGATACAGAAGAGAAAGCAACCCCAGAGCCTGGAGATGCGCGTTTATTATCATTAGCAGGACACTGTGGAAAGGGGACGACGTGCTGGTGGGGTTGTCTACAAGCCCGACCTCCAGGGCCGTCTCTGACACTCTTACATGTATTCTCTAAGTTTCCAGTGGCTGTGTCCCCTGCCCCAAACCCAGCAGAGCCACAGGAGGCCCAGAGAGGGGAGGGCACCCCCCAGGATAGAAGCAGATTTGGACATCCACGCTTTGGGCCTTTGCCTGGTCCTCTTTCGGGTTCCCTTAGGAGACATGGGAGGACCCTGGCGCGGGAGGGAAGGGGCTGGGGCCTGGGGAGGGGGCTCTGAGATCTGCCCCCTTTGCCTGAGCGCGGGTGCACATCACACAGAGGGCTGGGGTCCAGGCTTAGGGGTCCAAGGTGGGGGGCTGTGGAAGGGAGGGCCACACAGGGCTCATCGCCCCCCCCCAAACTGGAAATCGGGAATTGGGGAAACCGAGCTCACTCCTCCAGGGGCTCCTGGACCCAGGCCGCCCACCGCGGAGGCTGCGGCTGCTGCTCCTCGTCGCCTTGGTCCCTGCTCAGGTCACCCAGGAGCCCCAGCAAGAGGCCTGCTGGGCGGCAGGCCCCCGGGGGCCCGCAAGGGCCTTCCAGGGCCCTCTTGCCTGGGTGCTGCCGTTTCTCGGGAACCAGCGCTCCCTCCCCGTCTCCTTCCTCTTCCTCCTCTTCCCAGCTCCTTTGGCCCTTGGGGTCCTTGGGGTCCGCCAGCCTGCGGCCTGGGTGCTGCCTCTTGGTGACAGCATACGAGAGCCAGGGGGAGCGGCGGCCTGGGTGCTGCCGTTTGTGGGGCGCCACGGGCCCCCCTTCTGCCTCCTCCTCTGCCTCTTCCAGGCCCTCTCCCGCCGCCGCCGTCCTTTTGCCTGGATGCTGACGCTTGGAGAGCCGGTCGAGTCTGCGGAGGACCAAGGACTCTGGGGGAGGGGAGGAGGGGGGTGAGGGAAGCCCCGGCCACACGGCTCCAGCCCCGGCCCCGCCACACCCCCAGGACCACAAGCACCGTCTCCCCCAGCTCCCTGGTCCGTGTGGCACGGGAGCGGCCGTGGCCCCGCAGGCGGCATCGGAGAAGGCGCCCCGGTGCTCAGACGGCACCTGACCCAGGCCGCACGGGCTCCCGGTCGGGAGCGCGCAGAACCGAGCCCGCCGAGACGCCCCCAGCACGGGCACAGGCGGGGAAGCCAGCCCCGCGGCCCGACCGCGTCCCCAACCCGCGAGGCGGCGGCCAGGGCGGGCAGGGGGCCCAGGACGGAGCCCCTCGGGCCCCGCACTCACTTGAGAGCTCGCCCAGGTCCCCCCGCAGGCGGTGGAGGTCTTCCCGGAGGAGGAGGAGGCGCTCCGCCTGGCGCTGAAGAGCGTCCAGGCCCGGGTGCTCCAGGGTCGCCTCTTCCTGGGCCGCCTCGGGCTGGGCGTGGCCTCCAGGGACGGAGGTCAGGGTCAAGGTCAAGGCCAGGGCGAGCAGCAGCGGAGGGCACGGCATCGCGGCGGCTGGAGTGGGGCAGAGAGAAAGCCGAGGCGCACGGGGTCCAGGCAGGGTCGGGGCGCAGGGAGCCTGGGTCCCGCTGGGCCGCACGGGGTCCGGGCCGGGTCCGGGCTCAGGGAGCCTGGGTCCCGCTGGGCCGCACGGACCCGGGTCCGGCCGAGGCGCACGGAGCCCAGAGCCGCTGGCTCCAGCGAACAAACCACACAACACCCGTTTCGAGAGCAGAACCTCGGGCCCCGGGGCGAGCAGCGGGGGCATCTCCGGAGCTCTGTCCCTCAGGGGTGCCCGGAGTGCCCGCCCGAGAGCCGGGGCGCCGGAGCTGGGGGCGCGCGCCCCAGGACCGCAGCGAAGCCCGCCACCGAGATGCTCCCAAAGCGAGAACCCAGCCTCGCTTCGTCCCAACCGTCGGGTCCGGGTGGTGCCCTGGGGGCCCTGTCGCTGGGGCGCTCGGCGGGTGTCCGGCAGCCCGGGCGCCGGACCAGCCGAGGAGGGCGCCCGGTGCGCCTCCGTCGGCTCCCCGCCTGCGTCCTGCGAGCGCAGCGCTCCGGGATGCGTCTCGGGTGGAGAGGACTCCCCATCCAGTGCTCCCGGACTCCGCTGTAGTCTGCGGGGAAGAAGGGACGCTTACCTGCCAGTGGCAAGGGCTCCGTAGGACCGCTCCGGTGCTGCGGGCTGCGCGCTCCTCGGCGGGGCTGGTCCGCTTCTTATAGCGGCGCGGGGGCGGCCGGCGGGGAGGGGGCGCGGGCCGGGACCCCGCCCGCTGCTCCGGAACTCCGGGGCGGGGGCCGGGAGCGGGCGCGGCGGCGCGGCGGCGGCGGGGTCGTCCACGCGCCCCCCCTCCCCGACGGATCGGGCAGGGGCGGGGGAGGACGCCGGAGGCGCGCGCGGGGGCGGGGGAGGACGCCGGAGGGAGGCGCGCCCAGGCGGATGGGGACCGCGGGGCGCGCACGGAGGCGCAGAGCCCGAGGAAGCTGGGGCTCCGAGGGGAGCCGCCACCCGCCTCCCTGCCCGCGGGTCCTCGGGTGCTTTCGACGCCGGGAAGGGAGGCCAGGCGGGCACCTCTCGGGAGTTCCGGGGCAGGGAGCAGGAGAATCTGGGGCGTAGGAGCTGGATTGGGGACCATCCTTGACATTTCCCCCCCAGCCCCGCAGTAGTAGCCGGCCTGGCTGCCCCTGGGCACCCCACTCCCCCCTCCTCCCCACCATCGTGGTGCTCCTTCACTGAGGAGCCTCGCCCGCTCCGCACAGAGGGAGAGAGGATGCGGGGAGGAGGAGGACTCCCACCCCAAGGAGCTTGCTCCCCCCGCCCCCCCCCCCACACACAGCTGAGCCTTTTCATGATGCCGTGGGCAAGAGCATTGCCCCAGAATTCCCAGTGCCCGTCTGGCACGTCGTGGGCCGGGGAAGTGAGTGGGTCACCCCGAGCAGAGCGGAGGGCAGGCTGGGAAAGGCCCAGGTAACTGAGGAGGGCTGGGGCTGGGGCTGAGGTAGAGAGCAGGCAGAGGGGAGCCACCGACGCACCCCCGGGAGACTTCTGGGGCTCTCAGAGGGATGGCTAGGAGCTAGCCAGGCCCACAGGGAGCCAGGTCTCAGGCAGCAAAGGTGTCTCCCATGCCCAGCAGTCCCAGTGGAATGGAGCACACCAGCTTCCCCAGGGCACCGTTTCTTCAGCCCAGAACTTACCTGAGCTCCGGCCCTGGGCTCCAGGACAGGCTACCTGAAGCCATCCCAAAGGCATCGAATTATGAGACCTTCCCTTGGGAAGGCACACACCTTTCCTAACCTGTTCTTGCTCGCCACCCTGCACCTTCTCATCACCACACAAGATACACCAAGCAGGGGCTGTTAGCACCACTAGGCTTGACAGGCAAAGCCACTCTGAAGTCAGGGATCAAAGGGATCCTTTGGCATTTGTGAGATCTTTTCTTTTCCCTTCTTTCCAGGACTGGGGTTTGAAAGTAGGTCTCCTTGCTTGCTCAGCTTGCCTGCGAGACTGGTGGCTCTACCTGTGCCACGCCTACTCTGGTGGAGTCTGCTTAGCATGGGAAACCTGCTTTCAGATCTGAGAATGGGGCTTCAAAGAGGCCTACCTCCTGGAAAAGGCTGGCAAGCCCCTGGGAAAGATGTGTTGCTGTTTTTCTTTTCTTCACTGTATAGGAGTGCCTATTAATCTTTTACTGTTCTTGCTGCTTATTGTACTTACTCATGCTCAACGTTCCCTTATTCAAGGCTCTTTCTTAAAAGTGTTGACGACTCCAACATCTGATGAGTGTCTTAAGAATATGACAATCTCACCAGAGTTAAGTGCTACCCTGAAAGCCCCTCTTATGGAGGCTAGTAGACAAGCCATAAGTAAATATAAAAGTATTGGGGGTTTCATGACATCACTTCAGCAGAAGGAATTGTTTGTAAGAGATTTACAAGAAGCTGTAGGTGCGGCTAGAGCAGAAAGAGTGTATGGCTACTGGGGACTTTCCTTTAATCCTAAAAACATATACAATAGATTCACATAGATATCCTGTAGATAAGAAAGATGTAGAGAGATATTTAGACCAAAAGCTAAATAAGATTCCTAAAAGGTTGGTAGATGAAAGGTGGCAATGGCTTATCAGAGGAAAATGGTGGGATCCTCCATTATCTAGAGGACCTCAGAGACTTCCCCCAGATCCATAGCCTTTTACAGGTGTGTATGATAAGGATGGCAACCGTTGGGAAAACTACTTAGGAGAAAGAACTTCCTATTACTCTCTTTCATTTACTGAGAGACTTGCTAGATCTAGGTCTCCTTGGTGCTTACTATTAAAGAAGGAACAAGAAAGATCTTATGAGACAGTTAAGGCCTCTATAGAAAAAGAGTAAACGATTATGTGAAAGGGTTACAGAAAAGACACTATGAGCTTAAATTTGATATATGGCCAGATTTAACTAAGTATACTGAATATCATGATTTTTGGCCACAAATTGGGAACCCTCTAAGCACAATTGCTTAGAAAAGATTTAAAACGTATAAAGTACAAAACTAAACAAAAGTAACTATGAAGTACTAGAGTTCATGCCTTTCTGTCCAGCACCTTGCCCATATGCTCTGGTTAATGGTTAATTGGTGATAAACATCGAAACCCATTGTATTTCTTAAAAATAGAGGTAAAGCCGAAAACAAGTGCCTATCGTCATAGCTCGTCATCCAAAAAACAAGATCAGGCGACCAGCTGGTGACCACCCAAGAACGAAGCCTTGCAGCAAGATTGTGTAACCTTTTGCCCTTTCTCATGGAGACTTTTGCTATAAAAGCTTGTTATCCTCTGCATTAAATCGCACTCAGCATCCACTCCTAATGTGTGTGAGTGTCTGTTTGCCATCTCCCCACCTGTTCCAGTTCCTCCACTAGGTGTCCTCCATCGTCCCGACAGAGCCGGTCCGCGGCATACCTGTCTGGGTTTTTTGTTTGTTTGTTTGGGTAGTTTTGAAGATAGTGTTGAATTGGAGAGTCTCATGGACTTTTCTGCCCTGGCTGGCCTGGAACTAAGATTCTCCATATCTGTCTCCTGTGTAGCGGGAATTACAAGCATGAGCCACTGGTGCCCCTGATCATGGCTAGAGGCTAGAGTTTTTTCCTCTCCTCACAAAGATGGAGAGACCTGGGGAGATTCTACCTCCTGTCCTCCAGGCAAGTGATTTGGCCCTCAGGCCAAATGGTTGTCTCCAGTCCAACTGCAAACCTGATATCGCAGCTTGACCTCTCAAGTTATTCCTGGATAGGAAGGAATTGCTTTAAACCAACTGACTCATTATCTTTCCCATACAAAGGTGCAAGTGTGTAGGGATACAGCAACTCGGTAGCCTGAAAGTGTACCCATGTGTACAATTGTACGATTCCACTAGGCTTTTTTTCCCTTCCTTCCTTCCTTCCTTCCTTCCTTCCTTCCTTCCTTCCTTTCTTCCTTCCTTCCTTCCTTTCTTCCTTCCTTCCTTCCCTCTTTCCTCCCTCCCTCCCTCCTTCCTTCCTTTCTCTCCCTCTTTCTCTCTCTCTTTTTTTCTTTTCTTTTTGGTGAAGGTACGAGAGCTTGAACATGAGCCTAGCTTCCACATAAGCCTAGCTCCACTTCTTTTTTCTTTTTGCTAGTTAACTGGAGATAAAAGAGTCTCACGGACTTTACTGCTAGGGCTGGCTTTGAACTGTGATTCTCAGAACTAAGTCTCTTGAATAGCTGGGATTATGGGTGTGAGCCACCGGTGCTGGCTGGAGCTGAATTCTTACTACATCTCTCCCCACCCCCTTGCATGCACACAGGGTATGTGGTTCAGTGTGACTTGCAGAGACCAGGAGGAGACCCCCGCCCCCGTGCCTCAGCACTGCCCAAATGACCCACTGGCCAATCCTCAGCCTGCTCACCTACCTCACCTGTTCCCCGAGAAACCTCCACAGGCTCCACCCTCACTGCTCTGCCTCCAGACTGCCTCTGGGGCCCTACAACCCTGCCTGGCGCCTGGCCAGTCCTCTGTGAACATGACAGACTCTTGTCCTCTGATCTGATCTCACCACACGGCAATAACAACGGAGCCTCCGTTTCCAAACAAGGTCACATGGGGCAAGTCAGGCCCTGACTCCCGCCATGAGGCTGAGAATCTACGTCTGTATTTGGTCCAGTGCAGGGGGTCAGACCCATGCACGCTACCACCAAGCTAGCCCGCGCTGAGGAGCTAGTCTTCTTGTTCCGTCCGGTTTCCTATTTTTCTTCCTCTCTCTGATAATATCAATGTTCTGACTCTGAAAACTGTGGCCTCTTATCAGATTAATGCCGCTATGCTTTTGAAAATGAATAATGGCATAATTTAATGTATCTATCTTTAACTCCTGGGCTTCTCACACCCAGGGCTTCTGGTAAGTATGTTGAGCCCTGGGGTGGGGTGGGGGAGGGGACAAACAGTGGATGCTCAGTGGAACCCTCCTGCCTTAGTTTCCCCCTGGTTCTGTGCTTCTTTTCAGGGTGTCTTTGCTGTGCTGGATTCAAGGTGGTATGCACGGTCCTGGGCTCTGCCTGCTTTGCTCTCACTCCACAAACCTTCCCCACCCCTGCCGCTCACTCCCCTCCGTTCACAGCTGGTACCTTCCCTGTCAGCTTCTCCTAGAAAATCACACAGTTATCAGGAAAAAAATGCCTCCACTTCCCTAGCTAGCTGTGAGTACAAGAGGACTCAACCAAACGGGCCCAAGCACAATAAAAGATAATGCATTAGCTGGGCACTGGTGGCTCACGCCTGTAATCCTAGCTACTCGGGAGGCTGAGATCTGAGGATCACGGTTCAAAGCCAGTCTGAGCAGGAAAGTCCGTGAGACTCTTATCTCCAATAAACAACTGAAAAACCAGAAGTGGCGCTGTGGCTCAAGGGGTAGAGCACTCGCCTTGAGCTGAAGAGCACAGGGACAGCACCCAGGCCCAGAGTTCAAGTCCCACAACCTACCAAAAAAAAAAAAGGTAATGCATTGATCCATGTATTGAAAAAAGTAGTAAAGATTCAGCACTAACTCCAGGTATGGTAGTATCCAGGAAGTCACGACACTAGGAAGGTAGCTTTCCCCCCCTACTCTCCCTTAACTGGCGCATAGGTTGGCTGGCAAGACTCTAGTGAGGAGAAATAGCCAGAGGCAGCCACCGCACCACA